CTTACTTGTCACCCCTCCTATATGTTCCCGTTTCCAGAACAACCTCTTGTGTGTAACCATGTCGAAAGCCTGTTTTAGGTCCAGATAGATGCAATCAACCCAACCATCTCTTTCCTGTAAAATCTCTGTGGCTTGATCATAGAAACTGAATAAATTCGTTACACAGGATCTTCCAGATCGAAACCTATACTGACTGATATTATTTTTTTTCCCCAGTTCTACGCATTTAGTTTTAATCATTTTTTCCAATATTTTGACTGTTACACTTGTCAATGATACAGGTCTATAATTGAGGGGGGTCTTCCCTGCTGTCACTTTTGTAGATTGGAACTATGTTAGCCTTTTTCCACGTGTCTGCTATGACTCCTGTACACAGGAATGCCTGAAAAATCATTTGAAGTGGAATGCTGAGCTCGGATGCATATTCTCTCAGAACCTATGGTAAAACTACATCTGGGCCAACTGCTTTGTTCTTGCTTAGCTCCTAGAGCATTTTTTCACTTCTTCACTTAGACACCTCTGTGTGCTCTATGTTGTTCTTTCGAATTCTTATTGTGTCTGGTTCCCTGAAGATTTCATTTTGTACACCACTTTGGAACTTTTTGTTTAATGTTTCACACATTTCATTTTCATTATACACAGAAATCACATTTGCATGATGCATCAAATGAACAAATCCACAAGGGCCATGACGAGGATTCGAACCTACGTCCGAGAGCATCCCAGACGCTGCCTTAATCGACTGAGCTACGACATGGTATAAGAATTATAACCAGAAATTCTACTGAATTTACTTGGATCCTACAGCCTCTCCGAGACACAAACCAGGATTTTACGCAATTCCCCCATGCACTCGAGCCATATCAATAGGCCGTTCTACTTCTTCGCCCTTACTGCATTATACACAGAAATCACAATTGCGTGATGCATCAAACGAAAGGCTTATTGACATAGCTCGAGTGCAGGGGGGAATTGTGTAAAATCCTGGTTTGTGTCTCGGAGAGGGTGCAGGATCCAAGTAAATTCAGTAGAATTTCTAGTTGCAATCCTTATACCTTGTCGTAGCTCAGTCGATTAAGGCAGCGTCTGGGATGCTCTCAGACGTAGGTTCGAATCCTCGTCATGGCCCTTCTGGATTTGTTCATTTCATTTTCTTTGAATATCTTCCCCATTTTGAACCTCTGAATATTATCATTTACCTGCAATTTGTTGTTTTTGAATTTATAGACTAGGCCTGGTTCTGTTTTACATTTGTCCGCAAACCCTTTTTCAAAATTTCTTTCTGCCCCTCTCCTTGCTGCCATGTAGTTGTTTCTCGCATCTTTGTGTCACTGGAATGTTGGGTGTTTAGCATCTTCCTATATTTATTCCATTTTTGTGTCTTGGTCTCGGGCCCTCTCGCAGTTTCTGTTGAACCAATCCTGTTTCATAGTTCTGCATCTCTGCTTTGGTATAAATTTTGTTGTGCCTTTATCATATATTTCACAAAACTTAGCATACATCTCATAAAATGTACTTCATTTCTTAACAGCAAGTCTATCCAGTCAAATTCCTTAAAGAATTTGTGTGTATGATATAATCTGATCTCAGATAAACATCATGTCATTAATTAACTTGGGTCAATGGCCACGAGTGTTATCGCATTAAGGGTCCCCTGATAATTAATGGGGTACACAAGTGCCTAGACACACTGACACACTCATTAACTCATCATATCTGGCTCAATCATCATACACTAATTCAAACTTCTACACACTCATTCCATCATCTATTCATTCACTCACACAGGCAAATTCAAGCAGTTACTTGCCTACACATGACCTGCACCCATGTACTGTGGCTCATAGTGTAGATACAGTACATAAACATACTACATACTGTATGTTTAAACTGTACTGGTGAAATTTTTTAAAACAGGTGGTGTAACCATTAATTCAATTACTTGATTAGAGTTTATGTTCAAGGATTTTCATTATTATACAGTCTATGCTGAAATTAACATTTTAGTATGATCCAGCATTTGAATATCTTATTGACCAAGTGATGTGACACTGACTGTGTCAGTGATGTCACTATAGAATGCACTGTGTCATGTGTATTTTTGTATGTAGAGTTCCATCTTGAGGTTGCCCTTTTAATGAATTAATTCTGTGTACTTATTTTGTATGTTGAAAGGAGGAGTGAAGAGGTATATAGGCAGGTTGTTATCAGCTGGGAAACTAGTACTGTACATAGAGAGTGTAGCTTGACTTTTGAGGCGGCAACACAGACCTAAGCCAGGGGCAAGATTCACGAAGCAGTTATGCAAGCACTTACGAACCTGTACATCTTTTCTCAATCTTTGGCGGCTTTGTTTACAATTATTAAACAGTTAATGAGTTTCGGAGCACCAGGAGGCTGTTTATAACAATAACAACAGTTGATTGGGAAGTCTCGTGCTTGTAAACTGTTTAATATATGTAACCAATGCCGTCAAAGATTGAGGAAAGATGTACACGTTTGTAAGTACTTGCGTAACTGCTTCGTGAATCTGGCCCCAGGTTACCAGAGAGGCAGCCTCACCCCCCCCCCCCCACCTTCATCCTCCTCCTCACTCCAAGACTTCATCTTAGTTATTGCCATGCGTGAGGGTACTAAATAGTGTATAGCTAGAGTATTGTAAATCTGCGGCTTGTACCAAGATACTTCACCAGCAAGGGAATAGAGAGAAGTTCTACTTAGGTAACAAGGAGTCAGGGGGATGTGTTGATTAATTCTTAGAATGGGAACTAGTTGGTCCTGGTAGAGACACTTGACGCATCCCGAGTTCAATAGCGGCATCCGCAGGGGTAAACTGTTATCTACCATCTTGTTTGTTGATTCTTTTAAATTAGATAAATTCATGTTATTGTTCAATATTGTATTTAATAATTGATCTGGTTCAAGTACCTATGTAATTACCATCATTTTGAAAAGGAATTCAGTCACCTTAACACTTTCGCGCTTAGGATTATCCATGAGTCGTCACCGTATTTTCTTACGTTTCCGCATAACAGACGACGCCTGTAGTCCATCGAAAAAATATTTGTATAAAATATATTATCCGATCAACTTGGGGAATAGTATACAAATGTTTACCATGAAATTTACGTTTTCTCTAATAGCCGAACAGCTTATAAAAGAAAACGGCGTGGCAGTGAATCATCGTGGTAAAACAATTGTATTATTGACACGACGAGTGTAATCGACGTAGTTTTTATATATGTTGCCGGTCGAACGCATCCTTATGTGACCTTTAATACTTATGTTCTTATAGAACATTCTATTGCGAGCACATTGGTACAAAAATGAAATACATACATCGACAAATAATGTCAGGACAGTGAATTGAATATACACTTTTCAAAGCGAGTTTCGCCGATATGCTGCCGCGGGTAACACTTCGGCCACTTCCCACACTGTTTTGGGTGGGCTACGACATTGAATCTATATTTATATGCATATGTCCGTGTAGAGAATTTTATTGCGATTCCAATGATACCACAATTAGCGATGTAGGACAACTGTAGGCTTCGCAACCATTAAGAGAGTGGAAACATTTTGTTGCCGTTTGGCGCTCTTGGCGAGTGATCTGAATAGTTTTTTATTTGGTGTTGATAGTCCTTATGGTTTGGCGGCATTTTATAGATATGTTCTTATAGACAGTTTTATTGCGAACACAGTGATACCAAATTTAAATACGTGCGCCTTCAATTATTATCAGGACAGTAAAAAGAGTGTACACTTTTTCGGTCTTACCGCGTAGGCGCGCGGAGCGCCGAAAGCATCTAGGGTATTATTTTTTTTTGAGCGCCAAGAGTGTGAAAGTGTTAAGTGACCAAGTTCATATGTTTAGCTTTGTTTTTGAATCTTTGAAATTTAGTTTGGTAACCAGCCAAGGTCAGCCTCACAGGGTATTGAGGACAGTTTAGAGCGGTGTGCAATTGGTATCCCGGGGTCATCACCTTCCCTCCCAGAGACAGGCTAGTACATCTGGCTGGTTCTTGGTATCCCGGGGTCATCACCTTCCCTCCCAGAGACAGGCCAATAACATCTGGCTGGTTCTTGGTATCCCGGGGTCATCATGACCTTCTCTCCCAGAGACAGGCCAATAACATCTGGCTGGTTCTTGGTATAAATTAGGGTCAAGTACTTGAGCATTGGTACAGTTCATTTTAAATTCATTTTATTTGCAGACGAGGGGTCACAATATCGTGGCTGAAATATGTTGACCAAACCACACACTAGAAAGTGAAGGGACGACAACGTTTCGGTCCATCCTGGACCATTCTCAAGTCACAATCGACTTGAGAATGGTCCAGGACGGACTGAAACGTCGTCGTCCCTTCACTTTCTAATGTGTTGTTTGTTAATTTTTTTGCCTCGAGGATTAGGATATCTCAGTTTTAGGGCATGTTCGTTATAAATTTTACATAATAAATACTATAATTATTGAAGGGATTTCTACTTAGTCAATATTCCCTCATTTTATATACTTCATAAATGCACAATCCTGTGTTGTTGAATAAGTTTCCTGTGGGCTTTTTCAAGCACCACTTGGTCTATTTAATATGTATCCTCTCTTGTTTGATTTGAACCGCACTTAACGTAAATTCTATTCCCCTCCTATTAAAATACAGATATCCCTTCTTGGAACTATACTAATTGGCTGTTTCCTGCTTTGCAGTCAGTTAGGGTAATGATTCAATGGGTATGATGCAAGATTTCTATACTGTATAGTGGAAGTTATTACTATGTGGTATCATCTTGGCCACTGGCATATTGATATCTTGTTGCTGGCTCTTTGGGTAACTCAATGTCAGCTATTGCAAGTGCAATTGCAGATCCTCTTGTGTAAATCTAGTCAGCTCAAGCTCAGTAACTGATAACTAATAATAATTTTTATTGTATTTAAAATTTGTACTGCAGTGCAAGAGATAGTTTGATAATTTACATGTTGTTGTTGTATTGTTTCTTCACAGAAAGATGACCCTTCCTTGATGGCACAGTTTTACTATGCTGATGATGAGTTGAACATGGTAGCAGCGGAGCTTGATAGTTTTGACGGCAGGAAGGATCCTGAGAGATGCACTGCTCTTGTCAACCAGCTTCGCCAGTGCCAGGACAGGGTAATGTGTCTATTCTTTTATCTGTTGATCAGTTTTGGCTTTCTAATTTCAACTTTTAATCTATTGTTGATCCATTGTAAATAACACCATACAGTATATACATTATGTGACAGCCATCTGTTTAATATTATTGTACACATATTAACCTCTGCACTGTGCATAACGACTTAAAGCAATTAGTGGGTAGTGCAATTTTTTAATTAGCAATATTTTAATGTTTTTCAATGTTTTTAGCACTCTGTGATTTGAAATTAAAATTGTTGAGTTTGGCTATATTGTGACATTCTTGTTTTTAAAACTGTTCTGTTAATGTTAATAATTTTCTTAGCTTTAATCGGAGGACTCTTGTTCTCATAGTTGAGAATCTTTCATAATTATTGATTGAAGTCATAATTTTGTAAATGATGATCATATCACCTTTTTCTTGAGAGGCTGAATGGTGACTCCCTGTAGCTAGCTACACTGAGGTATCTCCACATCTGTAAATCACATCAGCGCTTGTGAGTCCTTAACCACTGTGCTGTGTCACCCGACAAAACTTGCAACAGGCCAAGCGCGAGCCGAGAAAAGAACATTTTTAGATATCGTTACATTCAAGGTGCGCATCCTGAGGTTGGGTACAGAACCAAGGCCTGAGGCCTCCAGTAGGTGGCGGCCATTTTGAAAGAAAAATCCCAGAAGGCCCCAGGGCCACGGGTACCCCAGCCTATCCTCCGAATGGACAGTACATTTTAATACTAAATGTAATAAGTACATTTCTGACTATTGGCATAGTACATAAATACACTCAATCGCCAGCATTTTACCAAAATATTGTGAATATTAGAGTTTACCTGAAAAGCTGTATAGAAAACCACGACCACAGTCCTCCTTGGGAGTGTAGGAGAACAAGCATGTAAATAGCATTTATTGCTTCTTAATTACAATTAGTACTTAACCTAAAACTATATTGACATTGCAATTTTATAAAACTAATAAAACAAAACTAAACTCTTTCAATAAATTATAAAGTAACTCGGGATATTTTCAAATTTTGTATAAAATCTCTATTGTTTAATAAAACTGAAAAAGAAATTCTTTATATTTAAAACTTATGTATATAGAATTGAACACAAAAACTTCAACCTAAAAATTTTGAGTGTATTAACACAAAATTAGGAGAATATATGGGGAGGTAAATGTAACAGCATAATTAAGTGTATTTAAGTATGTACTATGCAGACAGTCAGGAATGTACTTATTACCTTTAGTATTAAAACATACTGTATATTCAGAGGAAGGGTTGGGTACCTTCAGTTCTGATTGAGCAGCCATGGCCTACACACACACACTCCCAGCTCCCAATCACTTGTGGGACGTGGTAGTGAACGATCGCTTTCTGAAGGAAAAATTCGGACATTATTGTTTGAAGACGAAGAGGAAAGTGATATTGATGACCCAGGGCAGGATAAAGACCTAACACAAGGGACCGATGCAAATGATATAGACACAGATGAGCACGATACATTGAGTGTGTCTTATTCTGGATGAGTGCCATGCATGGTGGGGAGCCCATAGGTTATCACCCCTCTCCTGTGTTATCACTGACACGGGCGAGGGGTGATGACCTATGAACACCACCACCACCACCTGTGCCATCTCCCATCTTTGTTGAAAGTGATACTGTTGAATCGTTTTCTGGGTTCAGTGATGCTGCATCTGATACAAGTAGCATAGATGAGCCCAGTGGTAGCTGCTACCAGCGTGATTTTACTGGGCGGAGATTTGCAGTGTCAGCATCACGCCCTGCCCAGCGCTTCATGTCTCCCCTCACGACAACACTTATGACTGTCACATCTATATCTACAGGGAGCATATCTAAAGGGAGCCGGTCGGCCGAGCGGACAGCATGCTGGATTTGTGATCCTGTGGTCCTGGGTTCGATCCCAGGCGCCGGCGAGAAAGAATGGGCAGAGTTTCTTTCACCCTATTCTCTCACCCTAAAATTCCTACAAAACGCAGGCAAATCATAACATAGAACGAAAAGGCAATGTAAAGGACCTGGGTGTACTCATGTCGGAAGACCTTACCTTTAAAGAACACAATAAAGTAGCCGTCACAACTGCAAGAAAAATGACAGGTTGGATAACAAGAACTTTTCACACTAGAGATGCTATACCGATGATGATACTTTTCAAAACGCTTGTGCTATCTAGAGTGGAGTACTGCTGCACAATGACAGCCCCTTTCAAAGCTGGAGAAATTGCTGACCTAGAGAGCGTGCAGAGATCCTTTACTGCTAGAATCCACTCAGTAAAACATCTAAATTACTGGGACCGACTAAAGAGCCTAAATCTGTACTCCCTTGAGCGCAGGCGGGAGAGATACATAATAATTTACACGTGGAAAATAATTGAGGGGCTGGTCCCAAACCTGCACACAGAAATAACACCACATGAGACCAGAAGACATGGCAGGATGTGCAGAATACCCCCGTTGAAAAGCAGAGGTGCAACAGGTACTCTGAGAGAGAACTCTATCAACATCAGAGGCCCGAGACTGTTCAACATGCTTCCACTACACATAAGGGGCATAACTGGCAAACCCCTCACAGTGTTCAAGAGAGAACTGGATAAGCACCTCCAAAGGATACCTGATCAACCAGGCTGTGACTCATACGTCAGGCTGCGAGCAGCCGCGTCTAACAGCCTGGTTGATCAGTCCAGCAACCAGGAGGCCTGGTCGACGACCGGGCCGCGGGGACACTAAGCCCCGGAAGCACCTCAAGGTAGCCTCAAGGTAGGTAAGGTATGCCCCTGTTACCTAGCAGTAAAATAGGTACCTGGGTGTTAGTCAGCTGTCACGGGCTGCTTCCTGGGGGTGGAGGCCTGGTCGAGGACCGGGCCGCGGGGACACTAAAAAGCTCCGAAATCATCTCGAGATAACCTCATCTCAAGATACATCTGCTTTCCCTACTCACTCTACTAGTATACAAGGTAGAAGAGCTTCTACTCCTGCCCATCGGTGATTTACTGCGAGAAAACGGACAGAAAAATTTACCTACTGAAAAATTTACCTAAGGAAAACGGGCCCGTAGAATTGGCGGTCATGGAGGTGGTGGTGCTCTTGGGAGTAGGAGCACGGGTGAATTTATTTGGGAGGACTGTGATAATTTTGTTCCACACAAACCTCAATATGATGATAATAACGTAGGAGTTGCACCAATGTTCCCGTGTACAGGTGCCGACATGTCTGAAATTGATTATTTTGTTGCATATTTTGATGAGCCATACATGCAACATTTTGTTGACGAAACCAATTGGTATGCAGAACAACTAATTGGAGGTGAGCTATTACCTGGTTCACGTATGGTACAGTGGAAGGACTCCACCGTGGCTGACTTGTATGTGTTCTTTGCTGTGTATGCTCTTGAAACATTCTGTGAAGCATGTCATACATGATTATTGGAACAAAGAATGCGCTGTTTCAACCCCGGTGTTCAACAAGTACATGTCACGAGACAGGTTCCTGATACTACTATGGTGCCTACACTTTGAAAACCTTGCAAATGTTGATCGAAATGATAAACTTTGGAGAGTGCAGAAGGTGTTCAGTGATATCAGAGGGAAATTTTGTGATTACTTTGTACCAGACACAGAATGTTGTCATTGATGAATCCCTAGTTCTTTTCAAGGGATGTCTGCTCTTCAAATAGTGCATCCCATCAAAACAGTACCTTATCTTGAGATGTTATCTTGAGGTTATCTTGAGATGATTTCGGGGCTTTAGTGTCCCCGCGACCCGGTCTTTGACCAGGCCTCCACCCCCAGGAAGCAGCCCGTGACAGCTGACTAACACCCAGGTACCTATTTTACTGCTAGGTAACAGGGGCATAGGGTAAAAGAAACTTTGCCCATTGTTTCTCGCCGGCGCCTGGGATTGAACCCAGGACCACAGGATCACAAGTCCAGTGTGCTGTCCGCTCGGCCGACCGCTACCGTTTTGCCCTCAAATTCTTTGTACTGTGCGACTGTGAAACCGGAATAGTGATCGATATATTATAATCCGGTACAGACGTAGACATACCCCGCACAAGATGCTCACAGGTTTTCTGGCAGTGTGGTGAAGATGCCCATGGAACCACTGCTGAACAAAGGGCACATTCTGTACGGACAATTATTATATGAGCCCCTTGCTAACAAAGTTCCTGGTTGAACTTAACACGGGGAGTGTGTGGCACTGTAAAGACACGTAGGAAAGAAATGCCAGTTTTTAATAATAAATGTTGGTGTAGGTGATTGTCAATTTAGAAAATGTAACAAGATTTTATCTGTGCGTTGGAAAGACAGACGTGATGTCAATATGTTGACAACTATTCACACTGGTGAAATGCTTGACAGTGGAAAAGTGAGGTATCGAGCTAATGGAACATTGTATAAGCCAGGTTATGTCATTGACTACAATATCAATATGACATGGTAGATAAATGTGAAATGATGGTTGGTGCCGTTTGTGTGCAAAAGTGTAAAGTGAACAAAAAATAATTCTTTAACCCTCAAACCGCGCATATCATATATAAATGATATCAGTGACAAAACCGAAACCGCGCACATCATTTATATATGATTTCGTGTCTAGCGCTATAATTTAAACGCCCCGCCTGGGATAGGGGCAGCTATAGTACAGCCACGACCGATAGTTGCCAGATGCCACCTAGAAAAAAAATCCAGGCCAACATTCTTGGGTGTTACAGCGTCAGTATTGAGCAAGCCACCAAGGCTGGCGCACGCAGCACGAGCTCACAGCACTGCTGTTCAGCTTGTGACCACAGCATCGCCTACAAATGCCATAATATATATGATACTGCTATTATTTAGCAGTGATAGTATTACTGAAGCCCCCTGACTGTGATAAAACTGACCAGGATTCTGATAATAGCAGGATTGTGGTGATATTTAGCGCTGTGCTCCATGGAGGGAGGAGTAATGCTGTGGGAGGGAGGGTGGTGGCGATGTCTTCTGACTGTGTGTGGCCACCATTTACTGACTGCACTCACCATACCAGCTTAGTGGTTCGCTATGGTGAACACAAATGTAGATACTTATATATAACGTGTGTATAGTGAGAGATAACAGCGAGAGGAGTAGGTTGGGAGCCGCCATTTTGGTGGGGGAGGAGCGTCGTCTGCACGACTTGGCATGCTGTTTACTGATGGCCACGATGGTCTTTGGGCACCATACCAGCTTATTTGTACAGGTATGGTGAATAGAGCAGGTAGATACTTATATATAATGTGTGTATATAGCGTAATAACACCACAAACAATATTGTTGGAGGAGAAATATTAGTGCGTCTGGCCTTGAGGGCGGCCGCCGATCAACTGACTGTGTGAGTAATTACCTAAGTGTAATTACCTAAGTGTAGTTACAGGATGAGAGCTATGCTCGTGGTGTCCCGTCTTCCCAGCACTCTTTGTCATATAATGCTTTGAAACTACTGACGGTCTTGGCCTCCACCACCTTCTCACTTAACTTGTTCCAACCGTCTACCACTCTATTTGCGAAGGTGAATTAGTAGCTATGGAGTATAAGGAGTAGTGGAGTATAAGGAGTAGCTATGTCTTTGTGCCTTTTCTCACCATACAAGCTTAGATGTACAGTTATGGTGAACAAAACATGTAAATACGTATATATAACGTCTTGTGTATGGTGAATAAATGCAAAACAGTATTGTGGGAGGAGAATGAGGGTGAGTGAGGTTGTGTTGAGGGAGGGAGTGGCAGCGAGTGGCTGGCTGGTGTTTGGCGGTCACTCCTCGTTGCTTTTTGACTCACAAGACCAACTTAGTAGTTCGTTATGGTGAACAAAACATGCAGATACTTGTATATAACTTGTGTATATAGTGTAACAACAGCAAAACTATTTGTTTATTGTTTTATGAACATAATAATTGAGTCACTAATATGCACACCATAATTTTGAGTACAGCGATGGTTCACACATTTTATAATATAAATATACCACAATTCACTGTATGGAATAATATTACTGCAAAAAAAACTAAGAAAAAATCAATCAGACATTGAAATAATTAGGTAATAATATATTTGTGGCAACTGCCGTCTGACAGCTCGGGCGGAGTAGACCTCGTCTGGCGAAGGCTCTGCCAACGCCCCTTTTTTGCCACACTTCCCTACCCTATTGTGGCTAAAATATGCCACCTACGATTTTTTTGTTATTTTTTCCGTGATCAGGGAACAAAAATGAACACTTCTATAAGACGAAAGAATTTTTTTGAATTTTTTTTTTTTTTTGTTGCACCTGTGGGTGTGAATTCCATTTGGGCCCCTAGCGGTTTGAGGGTTAATCTTGTGGATGTAACGGTGCTCAATTGTTTCTACATGTTTTTGGTGTAAATAGGTCAGAAACCATCAATTCGAGTTTTTAGTCAGGCTCTAGGGTCGCAATTACTCATCAAGTATGGCCAGGAAGAGTGTCAGGACTGGTTGCACATTTGCCAACTGCACCACATTTAGTTACCAACAGACTGGTTTGTGAAGACATCTTTGCAGTTCACAAGCCTGCCTACATACCACCTACACGAACTAAAGCCAAAGGTGTACGCGAGTGCATTGTGTGCAAGTACACAGAACGTAAACCCTGGAAGCGTAAATCTGTGCATCACATGCGTCGAGTGCAAAGTTGTGGTCTGTCTCGTGGACTGCTTCTTTGAATATCACACTTGCTAAGTACTGTGTAATACAGTGTGTTACTGTGTAAATAGTGTGTGAACCTGTACATAATGTATATAGAGTGAATATTGAACAAATAATATTGTGACAACATTTATTGTGGACACATTACTGACACATGTATCACATCTCGCCCCCACGCTTTGCCGGCAATTTGACCTAGGTTCATATCTTGGCTGGAAAGGACCGACTAGGCACCAGTTCTTAACTGTATGCCTCTGTTCATCCAGCAGTGATTGGGTAACTGGTTGTTAAACAATTGGTGGGTTGTATTCCAGGGAAACTAGTAGGGTAAGGCTTACCATCTTCTTGAGATGATTTCGGGCCTTAGCGTCCCCGCGGCCCGGTCCTCGACCAGGCCTCCTTTTTGTTACACACCCCCAGGAAGCAGCCTAACTGTTAGACAGCTGTCTAACTCCCAGGTACCTATTTTAATGCTAGGTAACAGGGACATCAGTGTGCAAGAAACTTTTTGCCCATTTGTCTCCGCTTCCACCGGGGATCGAACCCGGAACCTCAGGACTACGAATCCGAAACACTGTCCACTCAGCTGTCAGGCGCTATGAGTTATGGGAAGGAAAAGCTCGGCCTGCTAACAGAAGTCAGCAGTTTTTTGTTCCTGTACCCACCTGTGTGTAAAAAAAAAAATTATCAGTCCTTCCTTCACCTGATGTTAAACAAGTCTGACTGCTCCATGCTCTTTGGGTCCCAGATATTCTGTGGAAGTCTTGGCTGACCTTTGGACTCTGTTCTGTGGGGGTGGGGGGGGGGTCATTTGCTTCTTTATCATTTCAATATTTTAGTATTTGTTTCATGATTTTGTGTTTACAAGCCTCACTTGTTGTGTGGACATTGTAAACTGTTCACCTAGAGCTGCATGTGCCTAAGGCAGCCCTAGGTGATCATTTGTTGATGCCTCTGGTGGGTTTGAGTTTGTCCGATATAGCCTCCTGTGGAGGGCGCTTCATTCCGAGTGCTACACCAACCAGCTAACCAAACACCAAACTCCAGAAGCAGCATGGTATGCAAAACCATAGTAAAACAGACCACAAAAAACTTTGTTTAGCTTCATTTTACCTTGAATGTAAATTTTAATTTTTTTTTTCCACTAAATAAAGGTTTATACTACAGTATACTGTATGATCAATGTAAAGAGGCATCATTTTCATGATACAGTATTTCTTCCATGTGTATCATAAATATGCAGTACGTTATTGTAATAATGTCTCTTTACATTAACCAAAACATCATTTTCATGGTATTTCTTCTATGTGTGCCATAAATATACAGTACAGTATTATAATAATGATGTTTTGATCAATGTAGAGAGATCATTTCCATAGTATTTCTTCCATGTGTACCATAAATGTAGAGTATAGTGATGACCAAAGCACACATCGGAGGATGGAGAAACGACGACGTTTCAGTCCATCCTGGCCCATTATCAACGTCGTCGTTTCTCCACCTTCTGATGTGTGGTTTCTTCATCATATCTTCAGCCACGTTCTTGTGACATTGTCTGTACAGTTCAGTATTGTAATAATGATGTTTTAAGTTATTGTAAATTTTGTAACATTTCAGGTTCTCAATATATGCATAGAGATGATGGATGAGATCATCCCACATGAGCGTGCCAGTCGGGATTTTCGTGTGAAATTCCCTGATGATGTCATGCAGGAGAATTTAGCAGGACAGCTGTGGTTTGGTGCAGAGGTACGGTACTAAATCATAGTTAAGAAATTTACATATACTTAGCTGATATATATATATTTAAATGCTGTAAGAAATATTATGCTGAAGTTTGAAATGAGTAAAAACTGGCGTAGAGTGTAACAAAATACTCTGAGTGATCCCCTGGTGGCTTCTCAAAGTTATGTCAGAGTTTCCCATTACCCATTCACATCAGTCATATGCATCCTGTTGCCCTACCAGGGACTAGAGCCAGAACCTAGCCCACCCACAAAGAGGCAGAGAAAGCAATGAATTGTTATCATCATCCTGACTGGGAAAGCAACCAGAAAGTAGACAAGACTATACAGACTACCACATGGTTCGTGAAAATGAAACGGCAAAACAGCCAACAGACACTGCAAATATTTCAATCCAAAGAAAATGGTTGGCTTAATTCTGGGTATGAAACGTCCCTAGTGCACAGAGTCACCAACAGGTTACATTTTGGCACTTATGGCTTCAAAGTCAATGATCTTCCAGTCCAGAACTGATGGTCCATGAACTGACAATCTTGGTGGGATGGGGGGTTAGTTAGGGAGCCACCAGGGCTCACCCAGAAAGGGACATTTCATTACATTTAATGCCGTAATTCTATGGGGAGCCCCTCCGGCTCCCCTGAGCTTACCGTGCTGATATGTATGTATTAGACCGTGGCATCAGTTGATGGAGTTCTTGCCTACCGGGGACCATGAGCCAGAACCTGGCCCCCTCAGAGAGGCACGAGGAGCAATGGTCTATTGAAACCCACCATGTATTTGGAAGCATTCCACATCTGCTATTGACCGGAGTTTGGCATCCAGAAAAGTAGGTGTAACAAAACAAACCCCACATGGTAAAAATTGCTTCCTAAAACCAAACAGGGAAGCAGAACTTCCAAGCTAGAATGAGCAAACGTCACTAATGCCGTCGTTCCGCTTGTCCGTGCAGCCCCCCCCCCTCCCCTGTGCTGGCTACTCCAGCAATTGGTTCCTTGACTGATGATGACTGTGGCAGTCGTCGACTCTGGTCTCTTGATTGCTTGCAGTTCTGTGTCTTTTGGTGTATTTCTGCAGTGTGGTGCGCAGGCCAGGAGTATTCCATCAGTACTGCATGCGGGGGTGCATCTGCTTAGGGCCACCTTCCCTAGGAGCCCTGCAAGTACTTCCCTTGCATCTTCGGGGTTACCTTCCACAGGGCATTCTGGAACTGCTTCCGTAGGGGTCTGTAAAGGGGTAAACCCCAGCTGGCCCGCCCTTGGGGCCAGCTGGGGTTTTTGTAGCCGCTGTTTGGCCTTGGGTAGGAAGTGGTATCGTTGCTGGTAGGGCACAAGGTATTGTGCAGCTTGTCTCCCATTATACACAGATGTCAGTTCTGTTCCTTCTGGGGACTTTGTGCTTTTGCTGGGTTTTCTTTTTGTTTCTGTTTGTTTGCCTGGTGGAGGTCTGCCCCCTTGGTTTATCCACCTTCTTGGTGGTTCTCCTCTAGGCCCCAGTGCTCTTACACATCATAGGGGTTCAGGTTTTTGGCAGTTCTTTTTGGTAGTTTGGGCCTAACCAGTTAGCAATACCTTCCCTGGGCTTCCCTTAGCAGTCAGCCTGAGGGCCCTGGGAAAACGCCACTGGGGCTCTTTGGACCTATGGATGCATCCTCTGGGTTCCAACTCGCGTAGTGTGGGTTTGAAGGTTGCTCTGTCCCCTTGTCTCAGGGTGGCATTTTGCTAAGTTTGCCTCCATCATGCTGCCTGTTGGGTCAAGGACACCTTTGACCCGGAGTCTTGCGAGTTTTGCTTCTTGCTTGTGATCCAGATTACCCAGTCTTCTGGTATTGAAGTTCGGGTACATGCGGCTTTGGCATTGCATGCTTGTTACCAGTTGCTGCAGCGTGCTAGGTTAGTTGCTCACCTGGATGCCCTGAGGCTGCCCCACTTGGGTTATAGGGACCTGGAATTGGGGGCATTAGTTACTTCGACTTTGGTTTCGTCTGCGTTCGCCGAGTCCTTCCCTGGTTGGTGGTGTTCGTCCTGCACCCGGCTCCCAAATGTCTGAGGGCTTCGGAGTCGGGGTGGGGTTTAGATGGTTGAGAGACTTGGGCGGCTTCAAGGACTGCTCCTTCTGTGTTGGCAATGGAGGCATTCGAGCCTGCTCCTCCTGCCAAGGCTTCCGGGTCTTACCAGCGGATCCTCTTCTTCTCGGCCTTTTCTCTAAACTCCCCTTTTCTTTAGGGGCAGTGTGTGTGTGGAGGATGTGGAGGAGTCAAGTCGAGTGGAGTTCTAGCCTACCGGGGACCACGAGCCAAAACCTGGCCCTCCCTCAGAGAAGCACAAGGAGCAGTGCCTATAGAAACCCCCCGTGTAATTGGAAGCAGTCTATGTCTGCCATCTACTAGGTCAGGCACCCAGAGAGGTAGGAATTCCAAAACAAACTACATCTGATAAAAAATTGCAAACCGAAAGCGGAACTAGCAAGCAGAACTTCCCATTACAAACAAGCAAACTAGCTTGACGTTACCACAACCGCCGCGCATCCGTCTGCTCAACCCCCCATCCTCGGGAAGGGGGGATGGGAGACTCTCAGACCTTCCTGCCGGCTTCTCTCCTCAGTTCAGAAGGCTGTTGTGTTGGTGACGGTCGTCGACTCTGGCTCCACTGTTTGTGCCGTGCTGCATAGCGGTGGTGGTGTTCTGTGTTGGTGGTGTGGGAGCCAGGAGTAACACGAGAGTACTGGGGCTGCATGCACCTAGGGCCACTTTCCCTTGGTGCCCTGTAAGTACTGCCCCTGCGATCTAGGGTTATCTTCCATGAGCCGTCCGGGAACCACCTCTGCGAGGTTCTGTTGCTGCTCGGTGATTGCCCGCCCTTGGGGGGTCAGCTGGGGTGGTTCTTAGTCCTGTTTGCCCATGGGTAGGAGGTAGTTTCGTCACTGGCTGGGGCGCAGGGTACTGTGCAGCTGTCTGATATATGCATAGCAACCGGTTCTGTTCCTCTGGAGACGTTTGTGCTTTTGCAGGGGTTTTTCTTTTGTTTTTGTTTTGTTTTGCCTGGTGGGGGTCTGCCTGGTGTGGCTGTAGGACCACTTGTATGATTTTGGTGGCCCTCTACTAGGTTCCCGTGCTTGCACACATCGAAGGGATTCAGCTTTTAGTTTGTTTGCTTGGTAGCTCTTGGATAACCAGTTAGCAGTACCTTGCCTGGGCTTCCCTAATCAGTCAGCCTAAGGGCCCTCGGAACCCCCCCTTTGGGGCTCATTGGTCCAATGGAGGAGACCTCAGAGTCCCACTAGGGGTTTCTACTCTTTTGGTCCTGGTGGTAAGTTTGTTTGCAGCCATCTCCTTCTTTTCTGGCGAAGAATGAGTCTGCTGCTTTCCGAAGGGGTCCTTGGGTTGTTGATGCTTGGTTGGTTGGGATGCTTCATGTTTCGAGTCCAGTTGCGGCTCTATGCCGTTATTTGTGTGCCACGGCTCCGTGGCAGGGGATGTGCTTTGGGTAGACCCGGTTTTCTCATCCCTGTTCCAGGGTGTGGGTTTCCCAAGTCGTCCGCAGGATTTTTCGGTCCAGCCAGCCTGCGGTCTATCCCCGTGCCCACGACGTTCATAAGTTCGCGCCTTTGGCTGCTGTTTTTGCAAATATAACGCCTAATGCTTACCTTTCTGGATGCCAAACCCCAGTCAATGGCAGACACAGAATGTTTCCAAATACATGGGGGTTTCCATAGGCATTTGCTCCTTAGTGCCTCTCTGACGGGACCTGGTTCTGGCACATGGTCCCCGGTAGGCAAGAATTCCATAGTGATGCCACAGACTAATACATACATGTATATATCAGCCCGGTATTTTCCAGAGAGCCTCCAGGGCTCACACAGAAAATGGCATTTCATTACATTCAACGCTGTTTTTTTTTTTTTTTAGAGAGGGGGAAAGTAGTCCCTTTCTGGCTCATTGAAGCTAACGAACAACAGAGTATGGGACATATCAGGGAGGGGGAGAGGCGGTTACTATAAACTCTTAAGAAAAATACCAGCCCAGAAATCCAGAAAACCCAGCCCAGGGCAAAACAAGCTCAAATGGGGCTAAAATCATCGAGCAGGTATTGAGCTACCAAGACCCTGTTGGATCTCCAAAACCCCTGAGCCTGAATATCAGCCCATGACATTATAGTAAAAACAGTGGCCAAAACTACAAACTTACCAACATTGTGGGCCCAAGGGCTGGCTAGCTTTAATGATACTGCTCATGATCTGGGATAAATGTGCCTTGAAACGGGGACCCCAAGAAAACTGGATCGACAAAGAGCGTGTCCATTGAAGTAGAACTAGTAGTGCGCAGGTAGTGATGAACTGCTGCTTCCTGACACAACAGATGATACATTCCCATCCAGACAAATTCAGCATCAATCACCAAAGGACCCCTCTGGAAACAACCATTTCATTCTTTGGCAGAAAAGGAGTGTACTGCTGTAGATGAAAAAACTGCCCACCATGGCCAAAATAACAGAACCCACATCTCCGGAGAGCATGAAGATTCGAACCCGACAACTGGAGAGAAGAGCCAACAAAAACAATGCCTTTAATATATCTTGGGCCGAAGGGGCAACTGTGAATTGAGGGAAAGAAAGAAAGAAAGAAAGACACTTGGCGCTTTCGCTGGGCCAGTGGGTGACACACTGCAGGGTCGGCTGAGCATTGCCTGTGAGCACACGACCTCACTCCAGTGTTTGCACTTTTTTTTTTTCTTTATAGCTTTCTCACCTCATTTCACGCTGTGTCGTTCAATTTGGTATCAAATTGTTTGCAATAGAATGCTGTAAAGGGATATTTGCATGTAAGAACATATAAATCTCACTTTGCTATACTTTAGACCCCCCACGCACTGCAATGTAGCCCTAGTGTTGCTTGAGAGCTCACCACTCCAATGTTTATTCTCTTTTCAACTTTCTCACCTCAATTTTCATGCTACGTCATTCAGTTTGGTATCAAGTTGTTTGCAATAGAATGCTGTAAAGGGATATT